AGGGAGAGGGAGAGGGAGAGGGAGAGGGAGAGGGAGCGGGAGCGGGAGAGGGAGAGGGAAACATCTATGTGAGAGAGAAACATTGACCCACTACCTTCTGTATGCTCCCCAACTGGGGATCAAACCAGCAACCCAGGCATGTGCCCTGACTGGGAATCGAACTGGCAACCTGTCAGTGCACAGGCCGACACTCAACCAACTGAGCCACTGCAGCAGGGCAGAATGGCACAAATTTATATGCACAAATAATATATGGAAATAGAAAGATCGAGTAGCTGATTACTCAACACAAGTATTTGTAAATGTTACTATTTCATAGAAAAAGCCTGTTCAGGTAATGATATTCCAGCATTTAATGTGGCCTTAGACATGATTAAACTTCAGTTTTATTGAAGATAAATGAGCGGTCCGCCTTCACCTGGTGAGTTAATGGCAGAGAAGGGACTAGATCCTAAATCTGACTCTCAGTCCAGTGCCTTTGTCCCTGTGTTCCCCCACGCTGCCTTTGAGCCTCAGCTTCAGGCTTTGGTTTCCAAAGACAGCTAATTCAGAGTGAAAAACAAAAGTATATGAGGAAACCCAGAATTCCATTTAGACTATTTATTTAGCGTCAACTAAACCTGAACAAAAGGTGCTTTTCTAATATTTCCTCACAAAGTTTGCCTGAATGAAAAGCGCGGAGCCCTGTGATCTGCTTACTCACAGGCCCGCTCTCCGTGCAGATAGCACAATGACCAGTAAGAGTTCAGGTTGCAGGACTCGCCTGCATGGGTTTCATTGGGTGTTGAACTATTTACTAGCTGGGTAACTTTAGATACAGTACTTAAATTTTCTGTCTTAGTGCCCTTGCTTGTTAAATGGGGACTTTTAATAGTACGTAGCTTGTTGAGTTATTACAAAGATTATGAGGAAGTAAATAAAAAGTTCTCTGCATAATACCTGACCCAGTTGTGCTCAAGAAAGATCTGACTTTGGGGATACCCGGCACTGTGCCGCTGATTCTAAAAGGGGAAAATACAGAGATGAGCAAGTTTTGAAGTTTCATAGCCTTCTTAATAGGAAAGTGATCCTCTGTGATCTTTGCTTCCTTCATTATGGAAGTGTCATAATCTAGCAATGCTCCTTCAGCTTTCAAATACGAAGACCTTGTTTTTCAGAACGAATGGTCAGTGTCCACTAATAACATGCAGCATCAGTCAGTCCTGCATCATGAAAATCCTGATCAAAACTCTCTGGAATAAGAGTTCTCTTCTTGTATCTCTCAAGTCTGAAGGCATTTTGAGGCAGTCTCACCATTGCTTCAAAGTAACTATGCCCGTGTAGTCCAGTTTATCCCCGTAGGCTGATCAGTGGGGGTGGGTGGGGTATTGTTAAGTTCTATAATTGCCTTCCTGAAGGAAAATTTATAGTCCAAAGGGCAAAATACCAATGAGGAAGGAAGTTGTCTGAGTCCCAAATGGGAGAACACAATGTAGACAGAGGGGCCTCAAAATCGCTGCTGTGAGATTTAGTCCCTAGACTTGACCTTCCTAGTCCCTTCGCTATTTGCTGTGATTGTGTGGTAGCTTATGACCCCACAACAGGATGGTGGTATAGGATTCTCCCATGGGTGGTCAAGTTGATCCATTCATAGGGTGATCCAGGATAGGGCTTGAGAGGGAAGGTGGACACCATGATATCATATCCTTGAGTCAGGTCCTACACTTTACTTCTCCCTAGTTGCTGTTTCTGATGTACAAACCTTTACTGACTCTGTATATTTGACATTTACTCATTTCTACTTCTTATTTAGTCTCTCCCATTTTCACTGCAGCAACTAACTTATTAGTAATTTTCTTTATCTCGGTCTTAGATTCCCTTACCTTGCCTGAATCTCCAAATTACCCTCACTGGGGGAGGCAGTTTGGGAGCTGTTTCAGGCTGTAGTCTCTAGCTGCAGACTGCACAGTGGCTAAGCAATCTTCACAGATCTTGGTTTCTCCATCTGTAAAATGGAGGTAAAACCAACACCAACCTCACAGATTTTGATGAAGAGAATAAGATATGGAGTATAAGGTATTTACACAGCACTGGGCATAGTGGGCCACTCAGTAAGTGGCTGGTACCATTGTTCCCCGAGTCGTACAGCTTTCTGTATCCTAGGAGGCTATTCTGGTCGTTTTTCCAGCTGTTGCAAGCAGAGGTGCCACAAGTACCTCTGTTTTGCTGCAATAAACTGCTGCAGTCTGTCCCACCCACCCCATAAAGAAAGACACTTTGATCGTGAACATGTTAACAGTTGAACAAGAATAGAGTTGGCAACAACATCAGCCTTTTCTGGTCCAACTGACCCCTTTTTCTTCTAGATGTCAGGATGACAAATAGTCCTCTGTTGCTCCTGGGACCTTTTCTTCATCAGGCTTTGAACCAGACGCCTGTGGCCCCTCGGACATGCCCGCATCCTGTTGGTGGCATCTATGATTGAGTGTTACAGGAATGGCAGTGTCTCCCTTTGTGCTCAGGCTCTATTCCCTGGGTCATTCATTTTCTTTTGTCATTTGTAGCTTCTCCAGAAGAACACACTTGTCATTCCTCATTCACAGAGCACCTTTGTCGTTTGAACCAAGGCAGCTGCTGAGGACCCAGGAGAGAAGAAACATCTTCTCTCTGCTTCTGGGAAAGCACTTTTGTTAAATAAATTTTACTTGCCCTCAACAAATGCCTTCTCATGGAATGCAAGCAGGAAGACCTTGCCCTGGTTTCCAAAACATAGCTAGATCTCCATCTCTTTGTTTCCTGCCACTGCTATTAGGATGAGTGTGGATCTTGGTATTTCATTCATGCTTGAATAGATTGGATCAGGGATGGTTTTATATCTTATTACAGCAAATGAAGCACCCAGAATATCAAGATGACTATAATAAGGGGCTCTTCTATCAGCTAAATAGAAACCAGTGGAAAGGACTGGTTATTATAAAGCCATAGTATGAAGTGATATGTTTTTATTTACAATATTGTATACATCTTATTCCATGTTGAACATGTAATATGTTTATAGTCATATTAATAGGCCCTAAATATTACATTTTTGCCCTTCTGATGTGTGCGTGGCCCTGCATTATGTACTATGTATATCGAAGGCATGTCTCATCATGTCTTCAGAAACCCTATGCTAGAAAATCAGGTGTTTTCCCTACTCTACAGATGAAAGAACTAAAGCTTGAAAGGTTAAGAGAAATACAACTAGTAAGGGGTAGAGCCCAGATTTGAGCCAAAATCAGATAGATGCCCCCAACCCACCTTCCAACCAGTATGCTATCATGTCCTGGGTATGTTTTGGGGACATCCAGTATGGGGCTATATGAAAAATGGCACCTTTTTTTGGCCTCTTTTGGGTTCTTTTCATAGTGATTTTTAAAAGTATTTGGAATATATGTGTCCAACAATTTTTACAACTTGGCCCACTTATTTTGAATTTCATGCCATTAGACCTTTTCCCTCAGATAATCAGTCCTCTTGCAAAAACCTAAACCTCTTTGCCAATCTGAATTGCTAGTTGCTGTTGTGCAGTATCAGCACCACACCCCCAAGCATAGCCATTTGTGTGGCATTCAAATCAGGGCTCTCTCCCGGGAGAAGTGGTGTCTGTTAGGCCAGTTCTCAAATTTCACCTCTGAGAGGATATTCTTCCCTCACCTCCCCTAAAATAGGGGCTCTTCCCGCCTCCATGCTCTGCTCTTATCCCGGTTGATTTTCTGTCTCGTATCCTCAGAGCTACTTAACATGAGATTATACCTTTTCACACTGACTGTTTTCCGTGCTAGAATGGCAGCTACTTGAGGTTGAAAACTTAGTTTTGATCCTTCCCAGAGCCTGTGCTTAATAAATAATTAGGCTTAAATTACTAATCAGACAT